TGGTGTGTGCTAGTACACACCTGAATCCCAGAACTATATAAATGGTGCATGCTAGCACATACCTGAATCCCAGAATTATATAAATGGTGCATGCTAGCACGTACCTGAATCCCAGAACTAGATAATGGTTCAGTGCCTTTGTTTTGTTTTGTTTTTTTTTGAGACAGCGTTTCTCTGTGTAGCTTTGGTGCGTGTTCTGGAACTCACTCTGTAGACCAGACTGGCCTTGAACTCACAGAGATCACCTGTCTTTGCCTCCTGAGTGCTGGAATTAGCCACCACTGCCTGGCTAATTCAATGCTCTTAATCACTGAGCCATCTCTCCAGCCTTCATAAACTTCTTTAATTCAAACTTAACAAGGAGCTGGGTGGTGGTGGTGCATGCCTTTAATTCCAGCACTTGGGTGGCAGAGGCAGGTGGATCTCTGTGAGTTTGAAGCCAGCCTGATCTACAGATATACAGAGTGAGTTTCCAGGACAGCTATAACTACGTAATAGAGAGACCCTCTCTCAATAAAACAAAACAAAAACAAAACAAAACAAAAAAACCCCAAAACAACCTAACTGCTCTGTCTAACTCAGCAGAATATATACTTATTTTCCTGGCATCCCCAATGGTGCTGGCTTCTAGTTCCAGCAAACACACACACTCCCCTAACTTGGCATGGAGTGGATGTGGTTGGCACTCCCAAGGATTCCTGTAGGTTATGTGATCTCAGACTCTATGAACATTCAAGTACCTGACAGGTGGATAAGAGAGTTTATACATTCATTCTATGGGATTATAGATTTCCTTCACTTTGGTGGGGGTATTCAAGACAGGGTTTCTCAGGGTAGCTCTGGCTGTCCTAGAACCCTCTCTGTAGACCAGGCTGGCCTCAAACTCACAGAGATCCGCTTGCCTCTGCCTCCCAAGTGTTGGGGTTACAGGTGTGCACCACCGCCGCCCAGCTTTTCCTTTGCTATTTTTAGGCTGGAAAATTAGGGATACTGGGGCTTTTCCTCCCAACAGGCTTCATGTGAGGCCTCGTATGTCCACCAACAGGGGAGGCATGCTTGCACACAAGGCCATAGCGCTGGGTACAGTAATCGGTTTCTTCCTTCCTCACTGACCATCCCATTAACATTGGCTAACAGTCCCCTGACTGTTGAGAAAGAGGAAGCTACACTTGGGAAGAAGATTGTTTTGTACTTTATTTACAACAGAATGTAAGAAAAAGTAAGCTATCGACAATAATAAATAACGGGGGCGGGCGTAGACGACAGTACAGCCATAGAATGACACAGACGGATGTGCGTCCCTTCCGCTCGCTTTGCTCACAACTCTCTGTGTTCCAACACTTGGTCCTTCAGCGGTGGCAGTGGTATTTTGAGTTAAGTCAGCCAATCAAGATCTCAGCTCAAAAATGTAAACACTGAAATTACACTGGGAAGGACACATACATGGATATGTGTAACATGGATAACACGCCAACTCAAAAGAATCTCGTCTTTCCTTGGGGGACACAGAGAAACCTAAAGGGAGACTTGAAATTCTACAGACACCACTTCAGCTTGAAAAACAAGAAGGCGGGGAGGCTTATGGTGGGCATAACTGCGTGGAGTTGCAGTTAAGGGGTGCTGTCTCTAACGTCCTCTACGAATTCATCCTTTCACGGCATGACATCCCGCGAAGCTTGAGCAGTTAGACAGCAGACACGGACCGCTTTGTAGGTGGCGCACAGAAGAACCATAGCTGTCTTGCCTCTGTGTGTCAACACCACATGATGGTGTCTCACAAAGAATGAAGAACTTAACGTGGTTTATTTATGCCAATTTATAGCCCAGGCCAGGATTCTGTCATCTTTGCAGCCATGGCTCAGATGGCCTACTGTCATCTAGCCAGCTAGTCAGGTGACCGGCAAAGCATGGGGAACGGACGGAAACCATTTGGCTAGCTACTCTCCCTGGGATTATCTGCTCATACATGGAAAGTTTAGTCAACCCTATGCCAGCCTTTTTCACAAAGGAAATTTCCATCGACCTAAGCCAGCTGGCGGCCTGGGGTCTGTCACCTCTGAGCAGCGCAGAGATACCGAAGGAGGCGGTATTTGAAAGCACTCATAAACACGTTAGCCTGGAAATTTCATTCAAATGGGCTTTTATCAAGATGTCTCTTAGTTTGCAGTTCGTTATAGGCTGTGAAAATAAGCGACAAGATTACTTTTAGGGGTATCATGGAGAGTTTTGTATTTTATTCTTAAAATTATATCTATGGGTGTGTGTGTGTGTGTGTGTGTGTGTGTACGTGCCACTGTATATGTGGTGGTTAGAGGACAACTTATGAGAACTAGTTTTCTTTCATGTGTGACCTGGGGCTTGAACTCAGGGTGTCAGGCTTGGTGGCAAGTGCTTCGGCCCTCTGAGCCATTTTGACAGCCATTGCTTGTGTGTGTGTGTGTGTCCATTATGTGCTTGCGCTCATTCACCCGCAGTTGAGCTCACTTATTTCCACACCCCAGAACACGGCTGACGCATACCTGTAAATAAGTTAAAACAATTCCCCACATAGATGCGAAGACTTTACAAACAGACCCAGCAACAAAGTGGCAACTGACAAAGTCACAGCTTCTCCTCTCTCTCAGTTCTTCCTTTTGCCTTCTCTGACCGCAGCTCGAGAGGAAATGCTCTTCAGAGGCAGCTTCAGACAGACCTTATGCAATACAACACCGCAAAGCCTCCTCGATCCAGGAAAAGCCCAGACAAAGCGACAATGCTGTACCACACCTAGAGCACAGGGGTACTGCTTATCCGAAAGCCGCCTGGAGTAAAGACATGTATGGCCATTTTAGTAGCATCCACCAACATCAGAGATGAAGAGGGGGTAAACATAGGTATTATCCTATGGGTTACTTCCTTCAATTTGGCTACTGGAGACTTAGAATTGTGGTGCGCGACTCACTATACTGCATTTTGTATATGTATATATATATATGTACAGGTATAATACAGTTTTGGTGAACAAAGTTGGAGGTTTTCATATGGCAGACAGAGGCACTGAGTTAAGGACTCTATTTCCCCCCTCAGACATGCTTAATAAATTCAAGTTTCTGCTATTTTTTTTTTTGTCTTTCCAAATTTCCATCATGCAGCCATTCCGTTTCCGTCCTCACAAGAGTTATTCATGTTCTATGTACACATTCATGTTCTATGTACACATTCATTGCGGGCTTATATCCCACAGTAGCAGATTCATGTCAGGACAAAGTGAAAAGGTACTTGGAAAAATCAAGATTTAGAAAATATTGAAGTCATTTATGCTTTGTGATGACAGGATTAACTATTCAAAGCAGCTAATGAAACATTCAGACTCCCACCCCTTCCTTATTTGTGGCACAGGCAAACCACACGTAGGCAGAAAAACTGAACACACGCGTGCTGGTTAAGAATTACACTATCATAGGTTAGTGCTGCAATTGGTGTCAAAGGTGTTGGGCTGACTACAAAATAAAGAAAACTCACAAAAAGGGAATCAGAAAGTAGCTTTTCAAAGTGAACCAGATTGTTGACCTTGACAACAAACGCTGGCATTGAAAAGGGAACGTGGCATGGCATTAACACAGAACTTCGGTGCCCAATGGGCTAACCACGGCACGAAACCAATTTGTACTATACGAAAACCAATGTACCTACCCCAGCCCGATTTCAGCTTGCAAACGGGGAGCAGATACATATACTCTGTGTCTTCTGAAAGGGGAATTTTGCTTTTTAAAGCCAGACATTCTCACTGAGTACAGCTGCACGGAGAAGGAGCAAAGACTGATTGAGAAGGAGCAAAATTCTCACTGAGAAGTCCAAAGGGTTCGAGAAAAGATGGCGACTTTCCACAAGCGAGATTCATGCTTCTCTACCATGCAAGGAAGGGCACCCTACTACGGCACGGCCACCTTATGGGAAAGATAAACTGGTGTGCAGAGCTATTTGCAGTTTTCCTTTGAGTACTGGGCGCAACGTCCATCTACAGATAAAGAAATGATCTAGGCACACTAAGCACTCCGGTGCTGGGCTCAAGGGGCCAGCACCTGTGCCTTGGGAGGGGGTGTGGTCCCGAAGGACTCTGTGGAGTGCAGTGCACTCAAGACGGGGTGTGGCAGGGTCTATTGGCTGGAAGGGGGCACGGAAGGAGAATGCACTCCTTGGTCTGTTTTGTTTATTTTGGGATCTGTGTTGGGGGTCCCAGTCGGAAAGGACGGCTAGGACATGGGCTCTGGAGCTCCCCAGCGACCTCTTGCTCATCACTGACATTCTGCTTGCCTTCCCCGTGGGCTTAAAGGCAGTGAGGGGGAACAGTGACAGATTTCTTCCTGCCACTTTGACGAATGACCTTTGCCAGCTGTTGGCCTGGACTCTGATGTCCATTTCTAGGTCTCTCAGCAATGAGATCAGGACAAAGGGGGCATTTATGACCACACCTCTGTACGAATAGGAGTTGGTGATTCCACCATGGAGACAAGGTCTCCCAGGTGACTGTGTTTACTGGCTCCCCGAGACATGGCCAATTGCACTGTTTCCTTTTTGCAGGATTGGGGACAGAGCCCAGGGCTGTCTGCATGCTAGGCAAGAACTCTACCATTGAGCTACACGCCGGCCCCCAATATTTGGATTTTCTAAACCTGGTGATCGGCACCCCATTCCAGGTATGTCTGAACTAAGCACTAACTGGGTGGGGAGGATTCTTTTTCGCAAGGTTTGGACACCAGACCTTCTGACAGTAATTAAGCCCGGGTAACGTAGTCCACTCTGAACTTCCTCAAGTGGGAGATTGTCAATGAATTCTATTTAGTTCATTGAAATTTCTGAGAATTGTAATGGATGATGGCCACTCACAGGTCAAGCTTCGCTGGTACCCGAAGAGGAGATGTCTGTCTCACCTGGGGCTCTCAGTTTCCAGATCATTCCACATTATATCAGCTATGGTCACAGTCATCCAGGCAAGTCTAAAAATTTGAGAGGCCACCAGGGTACAAAAGGGGAAATTACTAAGAGACGGGAACAGATGGGATCTTTATTAAATTTTATGAAAAGGTATAAAGAAGTCATTGTTAATTGCACTTGGAGCCTCTAGAAATTGGTCATTAAAATTTTCAAACATTTGAGGAGTTGATTAGGCCCCAAATCCTGAGTCAGACTAATCAAAACAGGACTATTGATAACGACTGGCATTCAAGTATTGGTGGTCAGCAGCCCAAAATCTAACGATTAGGCGTGTGACACCTGAGAGTGTTTTCTTTTTTGTTGTTGAGAATTTCATGTTTGATGGGAGGAAACTGACTTCATAATTTTACCACATCTTACAAAAACGAAAACAAAACAAAATAACAACAACAAAACCGGCTTCACGGTTTTTCATCCATTCACCTGTTTACCATTGAGGCCCACGTCAGACTCGTCAGGGCCCCCAAACAAAGCTTCCTTCCTGGCCCACACAGAACTCTATAGATGCTGTGGGGTTTTTGATTGTTTTTGATTCAGGGTCTCATATAACCCAGGTTAGCCTCAATTTTTTTTATATAACTGAGGTTAACCCTGATCTTCTGATCCTCTCGTCTAGCAAACCACGCCGGGGATGGAACATAGGGCTTCATGCAAGCTCCTGCAGCCCTTACTGGCTAAGTTCTGTCCTCAGCCCCCTCCTGTTTTATTTTTCCTAGTCTTACAACTCATGTTCACTATGACGCTGTGTGGCACACGTAGGGGTTCTTGCTATCTGTTAAAATATTTAACCACATGCACACTCTGAGATCAAAGGACATATCTGAGTGACGAGGCAGACCCTTCCTCTATCAGAGAATTCTTAAAAAAAAAAAAGCCTCAAATGAAAATATAAAATCCAATGGGATGTTCACATGAAGTTACTCTGACTTGGGCCGACATGGCTTTTCAGAAGAGTGGACACCAGGTAAATTCAGGGTGGTTTTTTTCTCGGGATCCGGAAGTGTGAGTGTCTCTGGAGCAGATTTTTTCCGGGGCCGGTCTTTGGGAATGGACAGGAATTCTGGCGCATCTGTGGAAAGAGGGGTGGACGGGGCGCTGGATGGGGCGCTGCGCACTGAGGAAGGCAGCAGGGCGATGCTGGAGATCGAAATGGCGGGTGGGAAAACGCCGATTTTCTTGTTGGTGGCTTCCTGAGTGGCGCGTTCGAATTCTCGCACTTCGTCCATTGTCATGTCTTCAAAGGGAAAAGCAGAGAGGACAATAAACAGTTACCAAGCAGACGTGCACATGGGTTCACTGCTAAGTCTGGGGACTGTACCGTGAAGGAGACCCCCTACCCATCACAAGCCCGAACTGGTTTTGAAAAACTAAGCCCTCATTCCCCACCCCCACTGCACCCCCTCACCTCTGTTACGGAAAAGAATATTTCTTTTTTTTTTTTTTTTGGATATCAATTCAAGGATTTTCAAATGACTCTTCAGTTAGTATTTGGAAATTACTGAAATACATTTTCTTTATTATTTGCTGTGGGTGTGTGCGTGGTGGGGTGGATGAATGAGAATCGGAAGACCGCTTTCAGGAGACAGTTCTTCCGCTATTGGAAGTCACTGGATTGAACTCAGGTTGGCAGCCTTGGCAGCAGTAGCTACCTTTACTCAGCAAGCCATCTCATCAGTCCGATTAGTAGACTCCAAAAATGTGTGTGTGTGTGTACGTGCACACACGCACTTGCGGGTACACAAAAAAGCCAAAAGAGGGCACCATTACTTTTCCCTCTTCCTTTGATGCAGTCTTTCCCAGAAGCTGCAGTTTACATTTTCTACCCCCTGGATCCTCCAATTTCTACCCCCACCCCCTTGAACTAGAGCTGCGAGCTTTGCAGGGTGCCTAGATTGTTACCTGGATGCCAGGATCTGAATTTCAGCCCAGCACAAGAGCTCTTTATTGCTGAGTCATCTCCAGCCACCTCAGTGAGTATTTTAAGTATTCCAAGTCAGGATTTAATGAGGGAGTGCAGAACCAGATCTAGTAAATGTGTGGAAGGTGTGTGTGTGTGCACCTGCGCGTGAGTGTGTGAGGCTGTATGGGGCTTTTGTTAGCCTGGGTCACACCCTCCATACAAAGGTCATTAAAGCAATCAGTGACCTTGACAACATTCTTCTCAAGTTTAGATTGCCAAAGAACCAGATAGCTTTAGAGGACAAATTCAGGCCAAATCTCTGAACTCAGCATTTTATCCTCAGAACACTTTTTGCACTCTGAAGGTCACAGAGTTGTTATTGCGATTCAACAATAAATGCTGATAATTGCTCCCCAAAAAAGGAAAATAAAATCACCCTCAAGGTTTGAAAACAAAAAGAGAATAAAAAGAAGGGATCATCTAAAGAGTGAGGTGTGGGGGGGACACGACATAGTTTGGTATCCAACAGCTAAGTCAGCAGTGCCTTCCTCGTGTTTTAGGTGTTGGGTTTTTAAATATATGCTTAAAGTTTTTATTGTTTGGGGCTGGAGAGATGACTCAGAAATTAAGAGCACACACTGTTCTTCCAGAGGGCCAGAGTTCAGTTCCCAGCACCCACATCAGGTGCCTCACAACCACCTGTAACTAATATTGAGGGAGGGCGTGTGGAGGTTAGAGGACTTTTGGGAGTTGGTTTTTGCCTTCCAGCCTATGGGTCCCAGAGTCAAACTCAGGTTACCAGGCTAGGTGGCAAACACCTCTGCTCACAGAGACATCTTGTGGGCCCTTGTCGTCGTTACTATGAATTAAGTCTGGCTGTTCCTGGCATCCTTTGGTGATGTTCACTTACTAGGAGCAGAGAAGACGGGTAACTGGGACTATCAAAATGAGCCTGGAGTGAAGGCTTGACCTTGGAGTAGAGTGGAGCCCGTGAGCTCTTTATCCACTTTGGCTCACGTAGGTTCATTCTTTCTGGTCCTTGGGGGTTCAGACTTCCTGAATGATAATGCACATCTCAACAACATGCCTTAGAAATATGGACACGTGGCATGAATCGAAATAACACAAAGCTACTCATTAGATGTCCTTGTGTTGCTGAGGATCAAACCCAGGGCCCCCGGGTGCCAGGCAGGAGCTCTACCACTGAGCGACCACTGGGTTGTACAACGTCATTTTTAGCTTTAAGAGACAGGGTTTCTCTGTGTGGCCCGAGCGGGCCTGGAACTCATTCTGTCGATCAGGCTGGCCTTAAACTTAGAGATGAGCTGGCCCCTGCCTCCCAAGTACTGGGATTAAAGGCGTGTGCCAACATGCCGGGCTCAAAAAACATTTTTCATGAAATTAAATCTGTAATCATTTCCTTATGAAATTATTAAAATTTCCTGAAAGGGAAATGTTTTTTTACAAAGATCAAGAAATTACAACTGTGTTGACATGATGCAAAATTTATATTATTTTAAGAAAAATTATATCTGTAAACTTACTACTTTTAAATGAATAAAAGAGATTAAAGTTCTTTAAAAGCAGCATTTACTTGGAAATAAAATTGGGACTTTACAAAAAATTTTAGTGCAATCAGATATATCTTTACACTAATAAATTACTTGATTAACAAGTGGCAGAAAACATTGTGATACTATATGTATCCAGCAGGGGGCAGAAACAACACAGAGTACAGAATTTGTTTTTTTTTTTTTTTTAAACTCAGAGGATCTTCATTGGAGGCTTTGTCAATGAGACTGTCTTTTCTTTTATTGCTGTGTTTATGGATGCTAATTTTGCTTACTTCCAACTTTGTTCATGTTCAGGGTGAAAATTTAAATTCCATTTTAACAGCCATGAAGGTTATTATTTTTAGACAGGCCCTTGGGTAGCTCAGGCTGTCCTCTGCCTCACTATGTAGCGGAGGATGACTGTGGATTTCTGATCCCCCTGCCTCTACCTTCCCAATGCTGGATTGCAGGTGTGACGCTAGCCCCACTTTATGCGGTGTTGGGGACAGACGGAGCCCAGGGTTTTGTGTATGACTGGCACGCTGCCAGATGAGCTACACCCTAGTCCCCTAGGTGGTTTTTATCACTATTTATAATTTTTAAAATTTTTTTAGTTTTAAACTTAAGTGTGTGTGTGTGTGTGTGTGTGTGTGTGTGTGTGTGCGTGTGCGCACGTGAAAGTCAAAGGGCAACTTCTTGACGCCATTTCTCTCTTTCCACAGTTACACGGGTTCTGGCAATCAAACTGTCGCTAGGCTTGTATGGCAAGGGCCTTTCCCTGCTGAGCCATCTTGCTGGCCCATCCATGCAGATTTTATTTGTGGTGCAAACAGTCTCTCTACTTTAACCATCCAATGAAACAGTAAGATCGTGAAAAATAAACGATCCCCGATTCCATGAAATTCCAAAGAGAGAGAGCAATCTCACACGACAGCCATTGTGCTGAGATCACGGCAACAATGGGGGGTTTGCAGCCAGAGACTACGTGGGCCGCCTTTCTGGATTATCACCTTCTCCTGCACAATAAGATGGCTTAGGGCTAATAATGATGAATTAAAACAGAAAGGAACTCATGCAAAGCCCCTAGCTGTAAGCTTCCCCCCCCCCCATCCTGAGACAGAGTTTCACACTGTAGCTCAGGCTGGCCTCCAACTCCAGGCAATCTTCCTGCCTCAGCTCTCAGCCACCACACCGGGCTTAGACCCTGGAAATAGTGGTACTCAGCGCCCTTCAGGCTTCCCTCGTCCCTCCCTCCCCTGTAGCTTTGTCTGGTTCTGTTTATAGTGAGCAACGTTCAGAGTAGTTGATGGGCACTGTTTGACATTCCCAAGAGAAAAGGTAATCAAAAGTAACGGAAAATTCGGGACCGGTTTCCTTAAGGAACATTCCTATCTTTAGAACAGGAAAAGGCGTGGTGGTGAGGCATCTGACCAAATCAGAGCAAACCTTCGGCAAATCATGCCCCGACGCTTTTCTGCAAAACCCAGAGCATGCAATAGGGAGGAGGCAGGTCTGGGGCGCTCTCAGGCTCACGGGTGGTCACATGCATCTAATGCCGTGCACTAGCCTGGCGAGACACAGTCAAAAGACATGCTTCAAACATTTCCAAAATGTTACCAAAAAGTCTCCGCAATTCTAAAGCCTTTGTCACAACAGCCACTTCTTAAGTTCTGTGATTATAGTCTCATTTTTTTTTAAAAAAAGATTTATCACATATTTATTTATTTACTTATTTCGTGTGTGTGTGTGTGTGTGTGTGTGTGTGTACACGTGTGCATGTGTGCATGCAGTAGTGCCTGCCGAGGACAGAAGAGGGCATTTGATACTCTGGACCTGAAGTTGCAGCCAGTTGTGAACCACTAGACATGGGTGCTGGGAACTGAACCAGGGTCCTCTGAAAGGGCAGCAAGGGCTCTGAGCCATCTCCCTAGAGCAGTGGTTCTCAACCTTCCTAACGCTGTGACCCTTTAATACAGTTCCACATGGTGTGGTCACCCCAGCCATAAAATTATTTGTGTTGCTGCTTCATAACTGTAATGTTGATACTGTTATGAATTGTAATGTAAATATCTTAACTTTTGAATGGTCTTGGGCGACGTTATGAAAGGATCATTTGGCCCCCAAAGGGGTCGTGATCCACAGGTTGAGAAACACTGCTCTAGACCCTACATTCTCATTTCCTAAAAGGTAAAACAGAGGTACCAGCCATGTAATAACTACGTTCTTGAATTTTAAAGTGTCTCATAAATATTATCCCAGGGCCTGGGCACGGCAGACACAAGAACTCAAGACGTTCTCAGAGAGATCGCAGCTCTGGCTGAGACCCCTATGGTTTAGTGATTAATCCTTTGTTATCTACACCTCCTCCTCATTAGCTTGACTGACTGAGAGATAACTTACATTTAAATTCTGGTGTATACCATGCCGTCAGTTCTCATTAACCAAGGCTGTCTGTCAATCACCTAGGGCTCTCTAAGGCTTTTGTTAAATCCCAGGCCCTACCTACTACACAGCATTCCTGAATCCCAGCTTGTCCCCTGGTCACCCTGCCACCCCTCGACACATGTGTGTGCATGGACTGCAGCTTAGTCTTGAGAGTAGCCTAGATTAAACTGATTGAGAAAAACAGCCCGGAAGAGTTGTAGAAAGCCTTTCAAAGTCTAAGAAACCAGCCCTCCCTGGAGCTCAAGAGTTAACTATGTCTTGAAAAGCCTGGCATCTGCTCTACTTTACATCCGACAGGCACTGTCAATCCTATGCTGCTTTATGACTGGTGCAGGTCATCTCACGGGCTCCACCAAATGTTTCCACTCTCTGAGTCCTGGGTTTTATGAGCAGGTTAGCCATGAAGTTAAGCTACTTGAAAGAATGGAAAGATCTGGAAGACACGGGTGACTGACACAGCCCACTCAAAGACGCAGCGGGCATCTTTACCCACTCAGGGGACAAGGCTGTGTTTTCCCAGGAGGCTGGGGAGCCAGCATTTTTAGGGTCTGACAGATGGGTTTCCGGGTCTGTTTCGCACAGCGTGGGCAACTCGCTTTGAACAGTCTACATACACTGGTCTGCGCATGGCCCTCTATGTCATCCACAGTGGAGGAGTGCTGATTGCAAACTTTTATGTTGGTTTGTTCATGCATGTTTTTCTCGTATTCCCGAACATCATCCATTGTCATATCTGAAAGAAGTCAAGACGTGGGCAACTTCCGTTATTAAATACAAACTTTAATCGGGGCACTTTAGGGAGAGACAGTAGCTCAGCAGTCGCCAAACGGGGTCTTAAAAAAACTAACTTTATGGGGCAAATCATAAAGTTAGGTAAACCAGCCACAGAGGGAGTGAGGGCAAGGAAGTTTAGAGTGGAAACCATTTTGGGGCGCCTCTCGGAAAGTGAGCTGAGTGGGTGAAAGTGTTAGCGAGTGGGCTGTGCGTAGCCTGAGATCTCCTAAAGTTGTGTTAGAAGATCCCTTTCAGGGACAGAGGGGCAGGTGTCTTTGATTTAATACTTACCTTCGGACAGAACTTTCCAGAGAGATCTAAGGCATTGCATTAGTGCATATGACAGAGCAAGGGTACTTTCATTGCTATGGCAGGAGACAAGCTGTGGAGGGGAGACCCCAGGGCACTCACGGGCGGGCGTGAGATTCGGTTACACTTCTCACGCAGATGCACTTTTGCACAGAATAGGAGGGACCCGGGAGTATGGGTCTTTGAGACTAGTCTAACAGCTTGGGAATGGCTGACACTATTCCACCCACATTGGTCTATAAATACAATCGCGCACAACACCACGTTTGGCTAGACTCTACAGCTTCTCAGTACTTCAGGGTAATGAGCTCTTCATAATGGCTTTCAGCAGAAGACAGGTTTGTGACAGTTTCTTATTGTGACAATGGTGGGAAGGTGCTCTACTGGCATCTCTCTAGGAAGGGGGAAGTCAGAGATGCTGTAGAACAGTCCATCTGCCAGGATCTGACTCCAAATGTCAATAAAGATCGAGTTGAGAAATCCTCTCTTATTTTCGCAGTCTTGGCACTTGGGAGGCCAGAGGCTTGTGGCTTCGAGGCCAGCCTGAACTACAGGAGACCTTATCTTTGTTGCAAAACAAACAAGCAAACAAGCAAAAAAAGAACAACAACAAAAAAACAAACAAAAAGAGAAGGCCAAGAAATCTCTTTTAACAAGTGAAATGCATAAAATTGATATTTTATTGGTCTCACTTTAAACATTCCCTTTGTCTTCCTCCCCACCCCCCACTGTCTTGTTTTTCTGCAGTATTTATCAGCTATTTTCCCAGTCCGGCAACAACGTCTTGGTGGAAGGAATTTCACTTCATGCCTCTTTACCAACCAAGAAAGTTTGCAAAAGGAAAAAAAAAGAACCACAAAGAGAACAACAATTGCATCACCTACCACTCTATCTCTGATTGGCTTAGTGGGGATTTGCAGTGTGCTTCCCAGCTGGAGTTTTTTCCTAAGTATCTTCTGTGGCCTGATGTCTTTTTTTTTTATCAATCCAAGTGTCATGTGAGCTCTCTTTGCTTCCAAAGGGCAGACCTGCCAGAGCTCATGATTTAATTCAGTGTGGTCTGGGCCCGGGTGGAGCATGGCTCAAAATCTAGGCCTGGGCCGTTTTATTGAGCTGATGCTGTCCTTCCCACCCCTCTGGAACCATCCATCAGAAATGCTGTCCACAGCAATGGAAGTATTGAGAAGGCTAAGCGGCAGGCTGGTCAAGCAAGAACATGCTTTTCTTTTAGAAAACAGGTTATTGACAAGCAATAAAAGGATGCTGCTTTAGGCTGAAGACAGAGGGGCCTTAATCAATAATAACACATTCCACAAGACCAAACCCCACGATTTCAATAACTGATTATTAGTAGTTCTTAAACACAAACATACCTGGAAATGAATACAAAAAGGTCCCATTCAATTACGAGTTTAAAATTGAAAGCGGTTTCTCTGTGCACATGTCATTAGCCACTTAATTGGGGAAACGAAACTCGGAGAAGGCCAGAGTTTACTGTTTTTCACTTTGCTGAATCCCCACAAAAAAAATCACTCTTTATCTGCAATTAGCTCACTGTGAAGGGAGGGACTGAGCCCAGGGTAGACTCTGGACTTCCAGAGCTGTCTCGGTTTAGCGGGGTCAGACAGAAGTTAGATCAGCGGTGCTCAGGCTCTTGTTCATGGCGGGAAGCTGAAAACAACTCAAGGGATTGATGGTGCCAACCAAGGCCAAAAAGAAAAAAACAAAAACAAAAACAAAAACAAAAAAAACAAACCAAACCAAAACGAGGCAGATGAATACTTAATCCTGGTAGGAAAGGTCTTGATATATTTAGAAAGACCGAAAGCATCTATTGCTTTTTTTTTTTTTTTTTCTCCTCTCTGTCTGTCTCAGTTTTGTTTTTGCTTTTCAAGACAGGGTTTCTTTGTGAAGCTTTGGAGTCTGTCCCGGAACTTGCTCTGTAGACTGGGCTGACCTCGAACTCACAGAGACCCTCCTACTTTTGCTGGGATTAAAGGCATGTGCTGTCACCACCTAGTTCTCTCTGGTTTCTTTCCATGGGGTTTCTCTGTGTAGCCCTGGCTGGAACTCACTCTGTAGACTATAGGCTGGCCTTGAACACAGAGAGGATCCTCCGGCTTCTGTCTCCCGAGTGGGAGTGCTGGGATTAAAGGCACGTGCTACAGCTGCCAGGCCTGAAAGCACCTATTTTTAATTTCTGTCTCCCAACCTCCACTTCTACCCCGCCTCCCGAGACAGGATTTCATGTAGCCCAGATATCAAACTCTCTGTACCCTAGGACCCTGACCTCCTGATTCTTCTGTCTCCACTTTGCAAGGGCTGGGTGATGCTGGGGCTTCCTGCTAGGCAAGCTACTAACTAAGGAGACTCTCTTTACATCTTGAAATAGTCTCCACACACCACAAACACACATGAACATGAGGGAAATGTGTCAGTCCTCCTTGGTAATTTATGGAAATGCTAATTAGGTGAAAAAGTGCCAGTTTGGATTACCTGGCTAAATGTGCTGTTTTTGCAATGGCTATTACCTCAAAATCCATACACAAATCAATTTTTTAGAAAGTTCAATTGTATATGCCCAATGACAAAACATACTTCCAAAGACAATTCATCCTTGTCACTGATTGATTTTTCAACGATATGAGTAACTTCTAGCAATTTAGTTCAGAGCTTTGCCAGAAACAAATGCTTTCTGAGATTATCAGCCAAACTTCTAAAAGTTTTTTTAAGCATGTGTATGCATGTATGTATGGTTGTATGCATGTATGTTTGTGTATGTGTATGTATGTATGCATGTATGTGTGTTTGTGTATGTGTGTATGTGTGTGTGCACATGCACACTCCATATTGCACATGTGTAGTAAGAGGACAACTTGTAGGAGTCTGTTCTTGTTCTCTCTTTCTACCACGTGGGTCCTGGGTATTGAACACAGGTCGTTAGGCTTAGAGGCAAACACCTTTACTATTGAGCCATTGGGCTGGCTCTCAGACAAATTCTAAATGCAAGAAAGCCTATGCCAATCACTTTTCAAATGAACTCTTAGACCTCTGGCTGTCCTGGAACTCCCTCTGTAGACCTTGAATTCACATCTGCCTGCCTCTTTCTCCTGAGTGCTGGGATTAAAGGTTTGCTTGCTATGTTTTTAGATAGGGTCTCTTGTAGCTGAAGCTGGTCTTGAAATCCTAGACGTCCTGCCTCCACCTCTCAAATATTGGAATTATAGGTGTGTACCACAAGGCTCAATATTATCACTATTATTCTATAAACTTTTGAGATAAGGTCTTATTTGGCATAGGATGACCTTGAACTTCATAGGTAGCTGAGGATGACCTTGAACTCCTAATCCTCCGGCCTCATCTCTTGAATACTGGGATTACTGTTCTGTGTACTGTTTATGCAGCACTGGGGATTGAACTCAGGGCTTCACACATGCTAGACAAGTATTCTACCAAGTAAGCTACATCACCAGGCCCATTTTAGTGTGTGTGTGTGTGTTTTCTTGAGAACAAGGTCTTTACTTGTAGCTCTGCCTGTCCTGGAACCTCATCTATAGACTAGGCTGGCCTGGAACTCATAGAAATCCACCTTCATCTGCATTATTGCATCATTTGGTATGCTACCATATCTGGCTTCCTTTGTGCGTATGCCTGTGGAGACCAGAAGATGTCCTTAGATCCCAGGAGCTCCTGGTGTTTGTGAGCTGCCTGACATGGGTGCTGGGAACCAAAGTCAAGTTCTTTACAAAAGCAGCAAACGCTCTTAACTCTCAACTATTTCTCTAGTCACCGAATAGAATGTCTAAAAACTATTATTTATTAATTCGGTCATTCAGATAATGCCAGGGTTACGCTACGTAAAAATATGAATCCAAGGTGAGATAGCAGGCAAAGTTGTTTGCCACCAAGAGCCCGATGACCAGAGTTCAAATCCCAGGACCCATGGTGAAAGGAGGAAACTAACTTCTGATCTTGTCCTCTGACCTTCACACACACTTTATACCATGTATGAATCCAAAGAGTCCTGAATTACAGGAGGAAAGTCTTTAATTCCTTATGACTTTTTTGACCAGTCCTTTGGCCTCTGGAGATAGCCATGGTAAGACACTGAAAGATGCTTATTTCAGGAAGTTGTAACTATGTTATCTCTCTCTCTCTCTCTCTCTCTCTCTCTCACACACACACACACACACACACACACAGAATTTTAACTGCATTTGCGGGTGCCTCTGGCTTACATGGCCCTATATTATCTCTCCACTTCCAGGCTCCTAGGTCAAAACAGAGATGACTGCTTTATCATTCTGGGGCAAAATTGAAGTCAAAAAAACAAGTCCTTGGGTCTCGGAAGATCTACTGGACTGGACACTTTTCTGGTTCTAGCAAAATGGTGGCCGCCCATCTGCAAGACTCAGTTTTAAATTCTCTTTGCTATTATTGTTGTTTTTGAGACAAGATCTCATTGCATATCCTAGGCTAACTTAGAACTCACTATGGAGCCCAGGCTAGCCTGGGACTCATGATCATATCTCAGCCTCCTGAGTGCAGGGATTGTAGACATGTACAATTAGGTCTAGCAGGGAATTAAAACAAACAAACAAACAAACAAACAAACAAACCTCATTGAAACAATTATAACCTAACATATGCTCCCTGCCGCAACACACACTTTTTACAAAAAACTCAAGGGCTTCCACTCTCTCTGTATTGAAATCAGCCAGTTCTGAAGACTTGGTGCATACCCTTCCCTAAGACCTAGAATGGCAACTGACAGCTGTGGTTTGGTTTTCCTTTTAAAATTTAATTGAATTTTACTTAGGTGGATGCTTTGCTTGCACATATGTCTGTGCGCCACAGGCTTGGTGCCCGCAGAGGTCGGAAGAGGGCGTGAGAGTCCCTGGACCTGGAGTTAAGGTTGGCTGTGAATCACCATGTAGGTGGCAGGGACTGAACGGGTCCTCTGCCATCACTCCAGCCTCTCCTTTGTTGTGGGGACACGGGGACTTGCTATGTAGCCTTTGTTGGCCGGGAACTCCCTGAGACTCCGGCCTCAGACTCGTGACAACACTCCTGCCTCTGCTTCCCAAGGGCGGAGTCACAGATGTTGGTGCCACTACACCCATTTATTTAAGGGGAGCATGTGCTGGAATGTAGGCAGGCAAAGGGTTTACAGGCTCCTTCGAAAGTGATGTGAACTATCGAGTTCTCTTCCTAGAAAAATGAACACAGACATACTCAGGTGCTCGGGCGTGGATTTCAGGAAACCCAGGGCCCATGGGTGCTGCAGCTGTGGTAGACTCACACTGTGCTCACAGATCCACCTGAGCTTGTGTGTTTCTCCTTGTCAGTCTTCTCTGGGGACTCTGGTTGACTTCGAAGTGATTTCATAAGACCGTTTCATCTACCAGCCAGAACTCAGCCTCCCACATACTTTTTGGGGGACGAGTCAGGTTTTCAAAGACAATCGTGAGGTGCCCCTCCGTCACAGGGTCCCTGTGGCAATCTTCAGTGTGTCTCTCTGAAAATACTGTCAGATTTGAGGAACAAATCCGTGCTTTTTGTGAAGCCGGGCTGGCTATTTTTATCCACCTCCCCTCTCACCCCATCTCCCAAAATGTGCTGTGGCTGGGCTGATTAGTGTTCTAGTCACGCAGAGAGGCTCAAGGCTCGCAGATAAAGACCAATCAGGGCTTTGGGAAGCAAACGCAACTCCTCCAACATGGACATGCTGATACTTTACAATGAACATGAGCAGAATCAAATCTGCTTAGGGAAATCGTTTCGTGACTCCCAAGAATGCCGAAGAGATGTGGAAATAAATCCTTGGGCGAGGAAAGATCACCATCCTTGGCAATGTCTTTTCTCCACTCAGAATTAAGCACTGGAGACGGGGAGTCTAATTTGTAAGTGAGAGCGAGGCAGCCAGGGTGGCCCTGGATGGTGCTCATGGATGAACAGTGTGTACCGCAGACATACCGTTCAGGAGGTGGCTGGTGCCCAAACCAAGCCCCAACAGTATAGCACCTGCCGAGTCTGCCGGAAGTGGGACCCTTTCCAAATACGGCTGTTTAAAGGGGAGGGGGTACTTATTTCTTCTCATTCTTCTGAGGCACCAGAACTTAGCGGCTGGCACTGAAGATGCCTTCGATTCTTCCAGCCTATTCTATTTGGAATGAATTATTTAAGCTGTCCTTGCAAGCCAGTCTGGCTTACATCCCAGGCTGTGAGCCAACAGTTCAGAGCCACCTGGAGGGCTAGGGGCTTGAGAATGCGCATCTCTAACAAACGCCCAGGAGATGTGGGAGGTTGCAGCTCCAGGGACTGAAAGTGGCTCCAGAGGAGGCTTCATTGCGTGGGACCTTGTCCATGTTTTACTAAGGAAGGCCTCGCAGCCTGTGCAAGACCAAAGGGAAAAAAAGCAACCCCAGGTACCCCAGCTGCAGGGTTATCCTGGTTTGGACTTTGCCTTGGTAATAACACACCCACCTATCTGAAAGGCCCATAGTTCCCTGTACGACCTCGAGTCAGTAAGAGGCCGAGGAGACATTCCATGGCAGGGCCTGTTTCTATTCATTTAATTTCCTGAGAGTCTGTGTCAGGTAATGAAGGAGCCACTGTGTTCCAGGCCAGCAGCTCAGCTGGGCTGTTGAGGTCTGCAAAGAGTTTACACCAAATTGACGGTGTGGTTCTCGGACCCCTTGCTGCCCGAAAAGGCTGCCGCTTGTTTTGGTTGGGACTGGGAGTGTGGACACAGGGGGTGGAGACCACTCTGGGGTGGACAGGCACCCGGATGGTCTTCATCTACCGAACCCTATGCCTTCCAACCACAACTCAGCCTCCAAGGGGGTTTTGTGATCAATAGCCTCCTTGAGCTGTTAACTGCCTTCCTCTAACTCATCCTCAGTAAATAGGAATCCTTAAAGACCTTCGAGCTGGAGCGCCTGTGTTTCATCTCATATATTAGTCTAGCTTCAGGCTCTTGCAATAACCTGAGAATTCTAAAGGAACCTTGCACATGCTAGGCAAATCTCTCTCTCTCACTCACTTAATTAAATGCCCTTAAGGCATCACGTCCTTGTTGCAGGCTTAGCAGAGATGGAAAGAACCACGTCCACCTTCCATCTCTCTTTACTGGACACTCATTCTCATTTTGGTTGGCTGTCAATCTTTTTATTTTTCATTAAAAAAAACCCCAAAACCTTCTCTTTTTATTATTATTGTTTATGTATGCATAATGTCATGGTATTTGTGCAGAAGTTAGTGGACAACTTTGTGGAGTCAATTCTCTCCTTTCACTTTTTTTTTGTTTGTTTGTTTTCTTAAGACAGAGTTTCTCTGTGGCTTTGGAACCTGTCCTGGAACTAGCTCTTACAGACCAGGCTGGCCTCGAACTCACAGAGATGCGCCTGCCTCTGCCTCCCGAGTGCTGGAATTAAAGGCGTGGGCCACCACCGCCCGGCTCTCCTTCCACCTTTAACATAGGCTCTGGGGATTGAACTCAGGGCATCAGTTTGGCAGCAAATGCCTTTACCGGCTGAGCTATCTTGCCGGCCCCAAACCCTCCTTTTTGACATCTTGGCTCCTTGAGCAGAGTCCAGTCCTCCCTTTTAAATGTGCTTTTCTGAAAAGTCCTCAGTAGCATTCTGGTGTTAGAGAAACCTAGCTGACAGCTCTGCTTCCTGGCCATCAAGGTGGCAGATTCTGGGTCCTCCAGGCACCTGTCCTTTGGTTAAACATCTGATCAGTGCAGGCCTAGCCTTGCAATATTTCCTAGGAATGGCAATAAGGGAACCATGAGCTCTGAGACAGACACATCAAGAGAGGTTAGGCATTATGTTGTCTTTCTTTTTTTTTCCTTCCTTCCTTCCTTCCTCCCTCCCCCACCCTCCCTTCCTTCTTTCTGTGTGTGTTATGTGTGTGTGTGGGGGGGGGATGGGTATTGAGAAAGGGTCTGTATTCCCTCTGAGACTTGCTTCCCAGTGAAAAAAAAAAACCCAAAATAACAACAAAATAAAAACACCCAGAAAAATTTAAGGACCAGAGAAAAGAATCCCAGAATCCTCTCCATTCCCTTGTTCCATAAAAGGCAGGACTTGGGGAAATCTTCCTGACAGCGTAGCACATGAAAAACGTCCTGGGGGTGTGTGACACAGGACTCTGAGCTGTGATGGCAGTGGGACAAACCAGGACGATGCACGTACTTGTCAGCTCGTGAAGATCTGGGAGAGCGGAAACAGAAAACTGAACAAATCGAGTCTACAGCCCAGAGGACCACACCTTTAAAACAGCACCGAGAAGCAGCTGCCGGCATGAATGACTAACATTGCCCCTACCCGTTCTGTCCAATGTAGCCTTTCTCTTAAAGATGGGGTTGGGGAGGGGGGTTAGCTGATGCTGTGGGAACTGAGGGCATGGGTAGAAGAAGGGTGAAGAAAGTTCAAAATACAATCTAGGTTATACCCAGGAGGAATAATGTGACTTAGGACAATAGACAAAGTCATCTCTATCCTAAGTCACCGGTTGGGCGTGCTTGCTTCTATTTATAGCCAAGGACACAAGCCACCTGATGACCGATTCGGGGAAAGCAGAGAACTCATGTCCATCCAACCACTAGCCTGAGCATCCGGGGTTGGGGGATGGGGAGGAGGTTGTCCATTCATCATGGCACCAAGAGAACCTTGTTTTCATTTACTGACAATGTGCAGAACTTGTTTAAAATCTTTGAATGACATTAAAGAAAAGCAAACCCAAACCCAAACCCAAAAGCCTAAGTCTCCATCTGCGCTTGACCTCTTAGAGAACCTGTATATGTCTGATGAGGGACTGTTCCAAGTGTTCCCTGCATCAAGGGACCGTTACTCAATAAGATGCTTCCAATAACGTTAAAGTTTGGGATACATTAGGATGGGTTTGAAATCCATCCCACAGAGAGCAACAGAGCCCTGTGAATACAGTCGATGAGCACCAAGCAAGTCAAGGTCCTTCTTGGTCGATAGTTCTGTGGTTATTTCAGACCAAGCTTCTATAATTACATCTCTATTGGGCTCACCAGACAGAGGTATTTCCAATACAGGAAGCACTGACCTGCCCTCCGTTGCTGTCCTTCTAGGTTACACTTGAAGCTGGGTGTACTAAAAAACCGAGTCAATGTATTACGAAACTGTCCTCCAAGTTATTCTGGGTCATCTGACTTACCGTACCACTCATCGACCCACGCAAAGGCCTGTCTGTGTCCAATCAGCAGGATGTCTCGGACCACCTGAAGAGGAAGAGGAGGAGGTTGAGATAATACCAGCTAAGATCAAGGCTGTCTGGGTGGGGGATGAGGGGCTGGAGACATGGCCCAGGGGGTCAAGCACGGGCTGTGTAAGCATGAGGACCTGAGTTTGTATCTTAGCACCTAGGCTGGCTGACTGAACAATAAACTCTGGAAGATTGGCTGTCTCTGCCCTCCAGAGGTGGAGTGATAGGCAGGTGTAGTCTGAACTCAGGTTCTCATACCTGCATAGCCTGTAATTGTTCCTGAGGGGGAAACTGGGATTGAAGGCCAAAGAAGAGCCTACGTGCGCACGTGTGCACACACATATTGTATATACTGTTTGTGGGCATGTGTAGTACAACACATGTGCTTTTATTTCATGGGGCCCCTTTTCATTCTGCATAAATATGCTTGCGTGTGACTGCATTCACGAGTGTCTGTACATGTGAAAGGCCATGTGCTGATGCTGGAAGCTGTCTTCTATTGCTATGCAATTTATTTAAACTTTTTTATATTAACTTTGTGTGTGTGGGACGGCATATATGTGATAGTTGGAGGTCACCTTGCAGAAGCTACTTCTCTCCTTCCCCCATATGGGTTTTGAGGACTGAACTCATGTCAGCAAGCTTGGTGGTAAGTGCCTTACCCATTGAACCATCTTGCCAGGCCCCATCTTATTTTTTGAGACAGGGTCTCTCATTAGACCTGGAAACCACTAATTGGCTAGACTGGTTGAATAATAAGACTCCAAGGGTTCCCCGTCTCGCCTGCCCCAGGGCTAGCTAGTGTTATTATATATGCATATGCTAGCTAGTGTATTATACATACATATGCATTACCATGCCTAGCTTTAATGTCGGTGCTGGGGCAGCAAGCACTTTACCTCTCGAGCCATCTCCTCGGCCCATAAATATTCCTAATTACATTTCTTGGAAATTCACAGGCTGCCTCCAGCACTCCTTTTCTTTCTGCTGAACAAACCCAGTGATTGTCAGAAACTTCTCCTGGAAGGCTGAAGTGTGTTTCGATAAGCAAAGGGTTTTAATTGGGTGGATGTGCAGGAACAAGGGAAGCAATGAAGTGTTTATGCCTCTAGGCCTCTGGGTATGTGGTGGGGTCCTTTTACGATTTGGATGTGGAGCTATGTAATGAATCTAAGAAATACCATGCAGCCATACACACTCGAGTGCTGACTCTGTCAAATTCATAGAAATCAAAGGACCAGCATGAAGGCGCTTGTAAACCCACCCTATCATAGGAAGCACAACACAGCTGTGGCTGGCAGTAAGGCTTCAATAATGTGTTAATGGCTGGCTTTTGAATACCCCCCCACACACACACTGTGAATAGAGTCTTAAAAAACAAAGGTGTTTAGAACCCCCCCTTCAGGCCATGTAAATATCCCCTCATTAGCAGAGCAGGTGTGTTGAGGGTAGGGATTTATACCACTTCAGTTAGTTTGGAATTGGGCAAGGGAGTAGAGTACCTATGACCAAAGCATCACAGGTATCTTAAAGAAATGCCTTCTCGGAACTAGCCAAAGGCATCATGGAGGAAACAAAGTAAGCTCTGGGTGATTTAAAGATGATTCACAAGAGGAAATAAGATGCATGACCACTATAATGAGTCTCTAGTTAAAGGGGATGATTTTGGAAAAACAAAACCAACAGGAGGGAGGGAAGGAGGCAAGCATGCTGGCGCACACTTGTAATTCCAACACTCGGGCACTGGAGGCCAGCCTTGGCTGCACAGTGAGTTTGAGGCCAGGCTGGGCTGTATGAGACCCTCCTTTGGAAGAATAAAACAGGAGCTGGAGAGTTGGCTCAGTGGTTAGGAGCACTTGTTGCTCTGGCTTAGGAGCTGGGTTGGATTCTCAGCACTCATATGGCAGCTGACAGCCAGCTATTGCTCTTCTGACCTTGGTGGACGGACACCAGGCGTACTTGTGGTATCCATCCATCCATCCATGCAGGCAAAACAGTCAAATACATAAATAGACAATTTTTTTTAAAAGAACAAAAGTAAAAGGAGAGAAAATGAGGGAAGGAGAGGGAAGGAAAGGCGGGGAGAGAATCTAAGTAAGAACGAGAGGATGATGCAGACATGGATTTAGGCTGCAGCCTATTTACTCTGGGTTGTCTTCCTGCTCAATGCCCAAGCTCAGTACACAGAAACAGGAGGGCTCTGCATGGTGGATTAGGATTGTCACCTCGACAGCCCGGAACTGAAGAGTTCAAGAATAAGAAAATAAAAACGTAGATTCCAGAAATAGGAACGTAGAAATAAAGAAATCTAAAGTTGTAAGCCTAGGAGAATGAGCACAGACTGTCAGCAGCTTTCTCAGCAGCTTGAGGATGAACTATTAACAGTGCGTCATTTCGCTTTACAACCATAGCTCTGTTTACAAGGCCAAAGCATCTCTCTGCAAACTGAGAGCTAGCCTACAGACTTGAGCTGAGTTGACTTTTAGAAAATAGATATATGACCTCTGGGTTATGCATTATCCCTGCTATGTGAAACTGGCAGCATCAAAGGGGAGAGCACAGGGCTTCAGTAAACATCACCTGAAGTTACCAAGAAAGACAATAGATTAAGTGTAAACTCTAGTTTAACTAAAAAACTCTGTTAATGGAGACTGTAAAGTAAGGCAATCTGTATCTGAGTTTACCTTGAAATTGTAAAGACCTAATGCTTGGTGCCACTACTATAAAAGATAGGGTTGAAACCCAACTTCTGCCACAGTCTAACCGGACCCCCCCCCCAAAAAAAAAAATAAACCTCTGGCTGTGGTCTCAGCTAGCTATAAGCTTTTTGTGTTCCCTGGAGAGTTCTTATTTTATTTTTTCCTGGATTCTGGTTTCCGGAATAAAGTTTGCTTCTGGTTTATTAAACTTTGGTGGTCTGTCCCCATCTTTGCATGATTCCCCTGGACCCAACAAAATTACCTGGAAAGGGCGCCTTAATGAGGAACTACCCTGGTTAGGATGACCTATGCTCCTGCCTGTGAAGGATTCTTCTTTTTATTAAGGCAGGGTCTCACTAAGTAGCCCTGCCTGGCCTGCAATGTGCTATATAGACAAGGCTGGGCTTAAACTCACAGAAATCTGCATGTCTTTGTCTTCCAAAGGCTGCAATTAAAGGTGTCCACCACCATGCCCTGCGTGCAGGATTTTTATTAACTGCTTTAATTGCTGTGGGGGAGACCTGCCTATCGTGGGTGGCACCATTCCTTAGGTTTAAGTTCTGAACTGTGTGAGAGTAGAGGAAGTGAGCTGATCAACAGCCATGCGTGCATTTATTTATCTCAGCTCTTGACTGTGGTCATGAGGTGACCAGTTCATGTTCCTGTGATTTCCTCACATTGATGGACTGCAACCGGAATTGTAAATGAAAATAAAAACAAACCCCTCTCTCGGCCAGGTTTCCTGTGGTCAGGATGTTTTCTCACATCAACAGAAACACAACTAGGGTAGCCTCTGGCCTTGACTGCTCTGCCCCTCACCCCATTCCCTCTTCTGGCGGGTGGGATGTGTGTGGAGCACAGCAAAGAACTACATGATTTTCATGCACAGAGGGGCATGTTATTGTATGGACTGCTAAGCTAAACCAGCATGAATGTTGTAAAGGTATCTTGACTTCAGAATTTGGGTCTAAGAATATGATGCTTTAAAAAGAGGTTCTTCTTTTGTTTTCACAGAAGATGGGAACCTGTGGATTGCCTCCAGGCAAATATGGTTTCATGGACCAAGGCCTCCTGAAAGGTTGCTGTGAACAGCCTCAAAAACTTCGCTCAACTGCTGACTGAGATGAACCTAGCACACAGGATACACCATGAAAGTCCTGATTAACACCACCCCCATACAGCATGAAGCAGTTTGGAGGAAAGAAAACTATGCCCATATTCCCAAATATTGTTTATAAATGTTCTTTTACATTTAAAGGGGGATATGATATAAATATGAATAATTTACATAGGTATGGATCTTGGTTTATTGATATAGATAAGAGCAATCTTGTTATATGTATATTTCTGCTCTTGATTAAGGTATTGTGATTGTATAGTTCATTTTAAAATGTAATGTATAATTAAGAAATATAGGTTAATAGATAATCATCTATAATAGTCAATATCTATAACAGATAATCATCTATATTTGTAGTCATATTAGTTAGATTTTTCTAGATGTGCATAGATGTATTTCAGATAGTTGGCATTCTCCATATCTTTCAAAGACTACAGAATATGGCATTTAAAATGTTTTAAAAATTTAGGACTTTTCATGACAGTGAGACATATCTACTCCTGGCAGCACCAAGCTACTTCAAGAGGAAGATGGGCATCGAAGAGGCTCCTTATGGAGTTGGTTAGCCATTTGGGCAAGAAACTGCTCTTGCCTGGACTGCTTCACTGAACATGCAGTACCCACAGAGAGATGACTGCTGAACTTGCCTAAAGATGAGATGGTCCTTTGGGGTTCCTGCTTCAGGAAAGAGTCTGTGAGACATTCTGCAGGACACAGAAGAAAGTGACTAAAAACTGCCAATACAGGTGGAACTGTCTTTGAAATTTCCTGCTTCATGGAAACATCTGCTGGATACTATGGGCCTGAAGGCCAAAGATGGATGCCCCAATGGTACAGAAAAACTTTGGGTAACTATCCAGGCAGCAAGATGTCTCTGTCATTTCTAGAGTTTTGGAAGTTGCTTACAATGCACTTCCTGTTTACTTAGGTAATATTATATCCTTCTGGAGTCTTTGATGGAATTGAAGAATTTATAGTTATACTTCTCCTTAGTTATGATAAAAGATAAAGTAAATGTAAGTATTATAACTGTAATTCTTATTTGATACCTGTTTTGTTATATGTAATTTTACTATGTTAAAGTTAAAGCCTTCCTTTTTGTTTAAACAGATAAGGAAAAATGGTGTAGGAGGCCCTTCTGTTTATGTGTTGTTTTTATTGGTTAATGAATAAAGAAACTGCCTTGGCCTTGTTGATAGGGTAGAACTTAAGTAGAAGGAGAAAACAGAACTGAATGCTGGGAGGAAGAAGGGCAGAGTCAGGGAAGCCATGGATCCTCTGCCTGAGATGGACACCGGTTAGAATCTTGCCAGTTGCCAGTAAGCCACAGCCACATGGTGATACACAGATTAATGGAGATGGGTTAAACTGATATGTAAGAGTTAGCCAATATGAAGTTAGTTAGAGCTAATGGCCAAGTGTTTTAATTAATACAGTTTCTGTGTGGTTATTCCAGGGCTAAGTTGGCAGGGCGTCCAGAAAGAACAAGCAGGCCCTCTTCTCCCAACAACACGGGGCTGCACGCATACCAGGCAAATATCTGTCAACAGGGCCATATCCCAGCTTCTGTGACACTGGGAATTACTTTTGCATTTGTTTTAAAAATGTATTTTATCTTTACGTTATTTACTTATTTGGTCTTTTTAAAAAATGTGTAACACATATTCATTGTGGTGTGTACACACGTTCATGCAAGCCTCAACACGTGTGCGGAGGTCAGAAGATAACTGTAGACATCAGCTCTCTCCTTCTATTGTGTAGGTCCTGGGGACTGAACTCAGGTAGTCAAGGCTTGGCCACAAGTGCCTTATCACCAAGCCATTTCACCGGCCTCATTATTTATCAAATATGCAAACAAAAGCAGTCACAGAAGGCACTGCTCGGCATCTCACGTCCCATTATTTTAGAGCCGCGTGGGGAAGAGCTGTATTTGAGATCTTGGGAAGACTGGTGTCACCATCAAGTCAGCCTCTGCACCGAAGCTAACCAGTTTTCCAAAGTGAGTACACGGTTAGGAATCTGTGCTCCGAGCTTGTTCATCATTCTTTAGTAAGGGAAGGAAGAAGTGAGCAGAGCGCTGAGGTGTGCCTCCTAATGGGCCCATTCGGAGCTCTTGTTCTGCCTCCGAGGGCCTCTTCTACTTGTGGTGCCTACGTATGCAAGTTCTTCCAAGGGACAATTATCCCTGGCAGCTGCGCCTGGAGATAAGCCTTCTGGGCTCTTGCCAAGTGCCCCCACCTAGAGGTAGATCAGCCTGATTGCCAGAGCAAGCCGAACATTCTGTGAGTCCCACTTCCCAAATATACTCATCCAATAGATTCAGAGGTCACAGAATGAGAGGCGACATACAAAACTGCCACACGGAGCGGCGGGAGGACATTAAACTCATATAGAAAATGCGTTTTCGCCTAAAGAGCATTGTCTAGGTACAGGTACCTGCTTACCAGTTCAACTTGGAAACAATGCAGTGAGCAACCTTGCCCGAATCCCAGGGACTGGGCTGATCACTCACCTTGTGCACAAATTGCTCCACTCGGGTCTGAAGGCCCCACACCTCGAACTTGACGGTCACCAGCTTGTAAGAGCACATGATGGGTTGATGGCTATCCCGCCAGCCTTCTCTCAGCTGCCCCCGGCCTGTCTTCTCAGACTTGAAATGTTTAGGATCCTAGAAAAGATGCACCGAATGACTGGTCTATTACGCTATAGCTGCAGCACAGCACAGGCCTGCAATCCCAGCTCTCGGCAGGTGGAGGCAGGAGCATCAGAAGTTCATCTCAGCTACATTACGAGTCTGAGGCCAGCCTGGGCTACCCGAACTTTGGCTTAAGAAAAAATAGCTATCTTTATGAAATGTCCAGAGTGAGAAAAATCCACACAATAGAAAGTAGTTCAATGGTGACTAGGAACCAAAATGAGGGAAGATTGTGTGTCCTCTAACAGGGGACACTGGTGTCTGGGAAGGGAAAGAAAGTACCCTGGAGAGGCTAGGGAAATGTCTCAGCAGGGCAACACTTGCTAAGCAAGCCTGAGGACCCAAGTTCCATTCCTGGAACCTATATAAAAAGCCAGACGTGGTGGTGAGCATTTGCAATCCCAGCTATCTACGGGGGGATGGGAGGGAGGCGGAGACAAGACAGTCAGCTGAAAACTTCAAAACCAGTAACCTGGGCTACGCTGTGCAGTGGAGAAGGAGAGACCCTGCCTCACAGGGAGGAGAGATAATGGCCTCCTGAAAACTATCCACTTGCCGTCCATGTTCACACTTATACACACATACACATACAAACGCGCGGGCACACACAGATTTAAAGAAACAAAGAAAAGGAAAACATGCTGGGATTGGTGGGGGTAGCTACATAGTCTTGTGGTCATACAAAAGCCATCAAATTATACACTACTTAAGAGGGCTAGGGGTGTCCCTGAATGATAGGGCATTTTCTTCACATGTGAGGCCCTGAGTTTGATCACCAACACTAAAACAAAAAAGGTGAATTATATGTACTCCAATTTTAGAAATGGGAGAATACCACACAATTGGCTTAGTTGTTTACTGACATTAAATATAAACATGCAAATGCCAAATACAGTTATTAAAAATTAGACTTATGAAGCTGCGATTTTTTTTCTTTAAAAGAAAAAAATTATGTTTAAGCTGGGCATGGTGGCGCACGCCTTTAATCCCAGTACTCTGGAGGCAGAGGCAGGTGGAGTTCTGTGAGTTTGAGGCCAGCTTGGTCTACACTACATTGCAGGTCAGCCAAGGCTACAGAAGGAGAGGCCTGCCCAGGAAAGGGAAAAAAAAAACAAAACCAAAAATACTGTTTCTTTTCTTTGTGTGTTTGTTGTTTGAGATAGGGTCTCACGAAGCCCCTGGACTGGCCTCAGACTCACTACGCCATTATGGCTGGATGAGTTCCTGATCCTCCTATCTTCACCTCCTAAGTGACAGAAAAACAGGCTTGAACCCCTATGATAAAGTTTTATTTATTTATTTATTTATTTGGTTTTTCAAAACAGGATTTCTCACTGTAATAGTTCTGACTGTCCAGGAACTTGCTCTGTAGACCAGACCGACCTCAAACTCACATAGATCTGCCCACCTCTGCCTCCCAAGTGCTGGGATCAAAGGCACCACTACTGCCCGGCTTAAATGAACTATTTAATATTTGTTCCCAAGTAGAGACTAGCTATTTTGTGACATCCCTAGAGGATGATATAGCCAGAGATATATATGATATATTCAGAGATATTTCCAAAGGAATACAGAGACTAATAAAGTACAAAAATACCTGCAATTACCTTTTGTTTTGTTTTTTCAGACAGGGTTTCTCTGTATAGCCCTGCCTATCTTGCCTTGGAGCTCTCTCTGTAGACCAGGCTAACCTCAAACATAGAGAGTTGAGGTCCTGTGCCTCTCATGTGCTGGGATTAAAGGGGTATGGACACCATCACCCGACTATGTTTAAAAATATATAATTTTCAAGAACATAAGGAAGAAACTGCAGGTTCCCTGGGGCTCGTCATACAGTCTTGGGTCTGACCACTTCTGTTGGGATCAGAACCCTGTGAGTCAGGTGTAGGACTCTAGACTGGCAAGGAACTGCACACATGGTACAGGCTGCGGGCTGGAGCAAGAAATGATGGCTTCTCGTCCCCAGAGAGACTTGGGAGTAAAGGCAAGTGGAGGGAGTGGGGAAATAGACCGTTTAGCTTGTAAAACATTCCTGAACTCTCATAAAAAGCTCCAAGTCCAGCTGTGATGGGAAACGGAGGCAGGGGGATACCCCCAAGCACTTACGGATAAACTCCACGAGAGTCTCCTCTGACCTCTGCGCATGAGCACTTGTGAGCCCCCACAGAGGCAGAGAGGGGAAGACATGAGCCCAGGAGCTGGGACAGTGGCAGCCCAGCCTTTGTAACTCAGGTGGCGACAACTCAGGTGGAGTTCGGCAAGGTCACCTAGGGACGCCTCCAACGAGGGTTCTCAGGCTGCCCTTGGACCCCATCACATACCCATGCATCCCCAGGAAGCACAGACCACCTCTGGGGTCAATTCCCACAATCAGCCTTTAGAGTCCGAGCTGTGACCTGAAGATTGCACAGGGCTGACTTACTGATGAGGACTTTACGGGTTACAGAGTGTTAGAATGGTGCGAATCAGAACCACAATGACCTTGGGGATCTCTTCAGTGTCTTTGGGAGATATCATCACATGCTTCTGCATCTAGCCTGATAGCCCTTTGCTGTCGGCCGAAGCCTTTGGAATGTATTGTAAGCTCACCACCAGTTTCCTTCAACCCCAAAGCTAAGGATGTCTGCAGACAGCATCTGAGACCTACAGCAGAGATTTCCTTGTTCACTGTAACCCACCTACCTGATGTTTCTGCCAGCGTATTTGGAAAACACCTTAACTTATGAATTTCTGGGATTATAAACTGTTCCTGTAATGGCATCCATGGTGGAAGACATTTTTTTTTTAAATTTTAAAAATTCATCTTTATATTATATGCATTGGTGTTTTGCATGTGTATCTGTGTGAGGGAGTCAGATCCCTTGGAACTGGAGTTACAATTTTGAGCTGCCATGTGGGTGCTGGGAATTGAACCTGGGTTCTCTGGAAGAGCAGCCAGTGCTCTTAACCACTGATCCATCTCTGCAGACCTGTGGAAGACATATTCTGGCATAATCTGGATCTGTGTTCCCAGTCATGGTCACTCAGATTCGGCGCAGAGCAAACGATCTCTGATTCCTTCTGGGGTCAGAGCAGTGTTTCACAGTGACAAGACTGAGCCTTGATCCTTCCCCTTCAGTTCCTCTCCCGAGAGTCTGTCTGTGGCACCATCAGCTTAAGACAAAGCTACAACAGTAGGCTCGGATGTGGCTCAGATGGTAGAGCACTTGTCAACATCACGACGCCCTGGGTTCTTTGCAGGAGCTAGCAAGAGTTCTCAACCACTGAGCCATCTGGCCAGCTCCAAGTTCCAGATATTAGTAACTTCTTCCGAAGCTTCCTTCTCCCCAGAAGGCCCCTTGTTCTATCCATCTCTGCTGTTTTTGCTTCAGGACCCAGTCGTGAGTAGCCCAGGGATTCTGGTAAACCATGTATCAGTTTGGTCACCTCCACAACAATGTGAACCCCCAGGAGCATGGAGGGTCTCATAACCACTGTTTCGGCACGCCACGGATGTGCATTCCAGAAAGACCAACAATCCTCCAGAATTATTAAGACACAGTGACATGAAAGGGAGAATTCAAAGCATTTGGGAAATGCAGCACCTTCCTGCAAGACCCAGTTCCGGCCCAGCGGAACACCTTTAATCCCAGCATTCGGGAGGCAGAGGCAGGGGGATCTCTGTGAGTTTGAGGCCAGCCTAGTCTACAGAGTGAGTTCCAGGACAGGTAGGGATACACAGAGAAACCCTGTCTCAGAAAAAAAAAAATTCAGTTCAGAAGGAGACTAGAAAAGTATTGTTCACATAGCCAAAACCATAAGGAAGTGTCAAATAAGGTGTGTGTGTGTGTGTGTGAAAGACAGAGAGAGAGAGAGAGAGAGAGAGAGAGAGAGAGAGAGAGAGAGAGAGACCTCACCCTCATCTTTTTGAGACAGAGGCTCCTTGGCTTTCTGCTGTGTAAGCCAGACACTTGGCCTCAAGCCCCCAGGGACTCTGCTGTCTCTACCTCCCATCTCATAGCACTGTGATTACAGATTGGAACCGCTGTCCCTGGGCATCTGGGGGTTCTGGAGATTTGAACTCAGTTCTTCACACGTGTATGGCAAGCTCTTTATGTACTGAGCCATCTCTCCAGTCTCAAGGTATGGCTCTTGATGGCACCACAAAAATTTATATTGCCAGGCGGTGGTGGTGCACACCTTTCTTTAATCCCAGCATTCCAGGAGGGAGAGGCAGGGGGATCTCTGAGAGTTAAGAGGCTAGCCTAGTCTACACAGTGAGCTCCAGGACAGCCAAAGCCACACAAACAAATCCCATCTCAACAAAACCAATAAATAAAGAAGTAAATAAAATTATAGCAGGCTATTGTGAAGCAAAGACGATTAGATGTGAACGAGAAGTTTATGTTTACTGGACTCAGAAAGGAAGTTTGTAAAAGCTGTAGGAGTTTACATTTAAATTTTCTTTAATGTGTGCACACACATGCACACTGTGGTTCATATGTGGAAGTCAGAGAACAAGACGTGAGTCAGTTCTTTCCCTCCCCGTATAGTTCTGGAGATCAAACTCCGGTCATTAGGATGGGCAGCAGGTGCCTTTGCCTTCATCAACCCCAGAATAGAATTTTTTAAGTGGACAGTGAAAATTTGGTTCCATGTCCTCAATTTCTGAGATAAAGCCACCGAGACTTGAGAAACCTCAGATATTTCACCTGCAGATCACAGGTCCTTCCCGACAACCCACTGTTCTTTCTGTCACATTTTACTTTTAAAATTAAACACCAAAAGGGTGTTTTGTTTTTCCATAGCTCAATGTCGAAGAAGCAATTAACAATTGGGCTTTGTAGGGGAACAGTATGTCCGCCACCCCACACCAAGACTGGTATCATATCTACAGCTGGTAATTTCATCTAGTAAGTCTCAAACATGGGCTATAATTAGAGATTCACATTCTAAGTGCTGGAGGGAGATACAGGAGCGGGTCTTACAAAAAC